GACTTTTTTTTATTACATAATCACATGATGGGTTTCCTTGATGGTCTCCCATCCAAATACTAACCAGAGCTGACCCTGTGTAAGCTTCTGAGATCTGCTGAGATCAGTCTAGCCTGGGCCATCCAGGTCAGGGTTAAAGATGGGTACTGACTCAGTAAAGGCTGAAGACAGTCCCAGGCAGCTGCTAAACTACACAGGCTCACTTATCTGCCAAATCTGAACAAAGATGAAAAATAACAACCCCCACAAAAAAAAACAAAGTACGACTGAGGCAGCAATGGAAAGGACCCTGTATAGGCCCAAGCATCCATCCTACATCATCAGAAATACTATTTCCTCCTATTGCAATTATATGCGATCATTAGAAAGGCATCCGTGAACTTTATCTTTGCGCTAGGTATGCACTTCACCTCCCAGAGAAGTAAATTTGCTTAACAGAACTGGATAGCATTTTTTAAAATGATGGGTCGGCGCTGATGACGCAGCACACCTGCTTTGTCTGCAGTGTAATGTAAACAGGAGGAATTGCTGTGCAAAAAAAAGTGTACTGCTCTGAACAGGAACTTTTCTTCACTTCAACGTACCACATTTCAGAAATTGTTTGTGGACAAAGATCTACAAATGGGACCCAGCTGCTGTTGGTTGGGGAAGAACATTTGTGCTACTGTTTTTCCCCTGCCACCCCATCCTTCAATCCTTTTCTTCTTCCCAGTTAACAAAGCGAAGTTGTTCTTTTTTCCTATTTTCCACTTTGCGCAACACCAGGCTTTCTCTAGACGAGTCCCTAGAGCCGCCTACATAGGAAATAAACTAGAAATGTGGAGCATTTTTAATTAAAAGCAGGTACAAATGAGTCCAATGAATATACAATTGCAGTTCTCACAAGAAACTTTTGGAGTTGGAGAGGATGTAGGAGAACAATGGCACTAACTAAACTGCACCAATGCATCCCCAGGGATAGCCAAGTGACTAACAAGAGCCAAGGACATGTGGACGTAAAAATTGCTTCTGAAATGAGCAGTGATGATTAAGCTGTTTCTTCCACAGCACTTTCCATACAATCTGCTTAAAGGCACAGGAAAGGGAGTAGTGTCTCCTCTTCTCTTTCAACCTATTATTGTTCGTAACCATACAGTACATATACTACTTTTGTGCAGTGTTCAAGAGCCTGAGTTAATGGTTTCTTTTCCCAAAGAGCTCCAGAGTTCTTCTTGGTAAGTCCAATAAAGCTAGCCCGACAGAGAACTTCATCCAACAATTTCCTACTACCTATGGCGTTGCCCTGGCGGTATGAACAGACTTAGGACAAAGCAGATCAGCGTCCTGCTGCTTAGGTGAACCTTTCTCAGCGTTAGAGCATATCGGTGTCACACCAAGTGGTCTCATAGCACAGAATGAAATGCAGCAAAGGTATGATGGGTCAAGGGCAGAGCTGAGACCAAGGTTTCAATATCCATTCGGAACTGCATCTGTACAAGTATAGATTAAATGTGACTGTAACTAATGTGCAGCACTGTAAACCTGGTCTCTTCTACATGTGTTTTACAGAAAGTCACTGTACTAATACAGATGTGAACAACTTTGTTGGAGCAGAGATGGACAGCTCTGTCGGAGCAACACAGAGTTCTTAGTCCTAAATGGAGGCAATTCAGCAAGTGACAGGTTAGGTGCTGGGAACTATCAGTCATAATAATGACAAAAATAATTAATGTTTAAAATCTTTTTGGTAGATAAAATCATTATGCTTTAAAGGGAAATGTAATAGAAAAATTGGGATAGTGATGTGCAGGCTCACTACGTTTAACGGGGATTACTCCCAGGATGAAAAAGAATGAAAAATCATGTCTGTGCTCTGGAGCTTTTCTGTGACCTTCCCTTTGGGTCGCACTTGCATCGACTATACTTTTTTTTAAATGCAAGGAAGTTTGAAAACTATTTTTAAAGACTGGTCACACGGCAAAGTTGCCGCGGGAGAGGCACGGATGGTGGGTGGATTATCCGGGCGCGATCACACCCCAACATCTGGGAAGTGGAGCGCACCCGTGGCTTACCGCCGACAATGCGCGTTAAAAAACTAGTACCTCCAAGGTACTAGTAAACGTTTGCCACGGGCTGCCTCCAAACGCCGGTGGTGTGATCACGACAGCACGCGGCATCCCCCTCCGGTCCCTCGGCATCGAGGGAAGGACTCGTGGTGTGCCGCCAGCGCGTCTGATCGCGTAATTGCGGATCAAACTGCGCTGGGGCAATTAGCCACGCCTCCCCCCCCCCGCGATATCCGGCCCGTGTGACTGGGGCCTTAGATGAGGAACTTTCTGGAAAAGGTAGAAAGGTAGAACTTCCGGTACAGGCAAACAGCACGCACCTCTGTTTGGCGGTGGAAAGTGCCGTCAAGTCACCCCCCTGGGGTTTTCTTTTTTTAATTATTTCAGTTTGTAACACAAAAACAAAACATAAACTACAATCTACAGCAATCTCTAAACCATACATAAAACGTTGATACGTAGATAAACCCACTAGGTTTCCAAGGCAAGAGGCATTCTGAGGTGGTTTGCCATTGCCTGCCTCCACACCAGAACCCGGCTCCCACCCTGCTTAACTTCTGAGATCTGAGGAGATTGGGCTAGCTTTACAACAGAACAATGGGCTCAAAGAGTCCAAGAGCACATGCATTGGGTGGGATGATACTAAAAGGACACTTATAAGAAAGAAATGCTCTGGGGGGCAAAAAAATTGCCTGCTGCCCACTTAAGACAGAAACAGGGGGGGGGAGGGAATTGAATGACTTCTCCATCTGTCCTCACAGAACTAGACAGAAACCACCCCCATTAAAAATACAAATTAATTTTTAAAAAAATTACAACTGGCACATACATAGCATAGTAAGAAAGCACAATAGGAGGCCAAGTCAATTTTATCTCCCCTGGTCCGTTGATGTGGCAAAAGAATGCCGTAACACTCAGGCTTCAGTTTTTAAAACTTTTTTGTAAGCTTGAGATGATAAACCCTAGTTTTTAAAACGCTCTGAAATCCGATGGGTCTTTGATGGTTTTGCCTTTTTTTAAAAAAACAACCCAAACCCCAGCCATTTCCCCCTACCCCGCCGTCGTTCGCCCGTGTAAGCCCAGGAGCGCAGCTTTGGGCGCCTGCACAAGGGATGGGTGGGGCTCACTGGGCCGGCGGCCCTGAGGATTTTGAGGGGCGAGCTGTGGCCCGGGGGCGCCTTTCGGCCGCTGCTTCCTCTTCCGAGGCAATAGGTGGCGCAGCAGCCCCAGCGGCGGCAGAGACGTTCGTTTCTTCCGCGAGCCTGGCTGCTCGGTAGGCGCTGCGAAGGGGTGGCGGCGGCGGCGGCTTTTCCCCGGCCACCTTGGGGCTGCGCCCTGTTCTGAAGCTTCCGTTTGCACTTCCCCAGCAGAGCGGCGCCCGCCCCCCTTCCCCCCGCTGGAGACCTGCTCTTGAAGTTCCCTCCAGTTGCTGGGCGGGGGGAGGGGGGGGACCGTGCTGTCAGTCCGGTCCTGAGAGCCAGCGAGTGACGACATCACAGGCAAGGCACACAAAGCCACCGCCAAAGGCAGCCCCTTCCTTTCCGGCTTCTTCGCAGGTGTCACCGGCTCGGAGATCACCTTTCTCCAGTCCCAAGCCCGCCCTGGATGCCAGAGTTTGCCATGCAATGCAGCTGCACTGCAGGGATCCACCACTACCCCAAGCTTTGCTCCGAATAAAAAAAAGCAGCTCCACCGGGGTGGAAGAGGGCTGTGTGCAGCCACCCCCACCCCCACCCCAAGCTACGGGAAAGACACGGTAGCCAAACTTCAAAGTGGGGTTGCCAACTCCCCCCCCCCGCACGAGCTGGAGACATGAGCAGATGGTAGCTATTCTCGCCATACATGTTTAAAAGAGAAAGCCTAGCAAGGCGATTTTTGCAGCTCTAGAGGCAATCAAAGCGACAGGAGCAAGCCACCCGGCCCTCTTGGGTCAGTTGGCAACCCCAACTTGCAACGGCTTATGATCTTTTCTGCCCAACGCTTCTCAGTGCTCGTAGTGCAAAGGCCAGGGTCTGTACCTCCGGTGCTTTTAAGGTACAAGTCCGGACCCCTAAATCTCTCTTGGAAGGGGGAACGGGGAAGCGGGAAGTGACCCCCCCGCCGCGAGAGAATCACGTGACTCCATAGGGAATTAGCCCGTCATTGCGATGAGGCAATCGTCTGCCGTATCCTTCCGCCACTCAGCGAGAGTGTGTGAGTGCGCGCTCGCGACCTGATTCCTGTCTTCGGCTCTCTCCCCTGCGAAAAGAAAGCCACGGTTTCTGCTCGGCGGAGGTTTTTAAAAACAAAGGGGTCGTTGCCTGAACCCACACCGAGTCTGCCGGGGGCTGCGTTTGAGGAAGCGGTGACGGAGCTGTGGAAGACTCCTTTTTCGTCACAGGCAGCGGAGGGAGCTGGCGAAGAGCGGCGCTTCAGCCCTCGCTCTCCCCCCCCTCACCCTCCTCCCCCTCCTTCCTCCTCGTCGGTGCCGTTCCCTCTTCTCCCTTCCCCCCCCCTCCTCCTCCCTGCTTCCCTTCCCTCGCTCTCTCGGAAGCTGCAGCCATGATGGCAGTTTGAAGCTCGGGCGCTGGGTGCCCTGAGGGGCTCGGAGCCACAGCCCAGGGGTCAAAGAACGGGCGGACGAGCTGACGGACTGTTCGCAGAGGGAGAAGGAGGAAGAGGACGCGACGGGGGTGGACTGTGCGTGCGTGTGTGGACGGGGGGGGGGGGGCGCGCGTGTAAGAGAGCGCGCGGGCGCGCCGGATTAATCCGAGGCGACGGGGGAAGAAGAGTGCGAGGAAATGACACGGGGCAGCCTCCAGCCCCGCGCGCCCCTCAGGACCTGAGACGGCTGGCTTCCTGACT